TATATGTCATACCCTTTCCAAGACCACATGGTTGTGAATCCCAATTATGTCATACCCTTTCCAAGACCACGTGGTTGTGAATCCCATTTATGTCATACCCTCCCCAAGACCGCATGGTTGTGAATCCCAATTATGTCATACCCTTTCCAAGACCACGTGGTTGTGAATCCCATTTATGTCACACCCTTTCCAAGACCGCATGGTTGTGAATCCCATTTATGTCATGATACCCTTTCCAAGACCACGTGGTTGTGAATCCCATTTATGTCACACCCTTTCCAAGACCGCATGGTTGTGAATCCCAATTACTAGTATGTCATACCCTTTCTAAGACCGCATGGTTGTGAATCCCATTTATGTAACACCCTTTCCAAGACCACGTGGTTGTGAATCCCATTTATGTCACACCCTTTCCAAGACCGCATGGTTGTGAATCCCAATTATGTCATACCCTTTCCAAGACCGCATGGTTGTGAATCCCATTTATGTCATACCCTTCCCAAGACCACATGGTTGTGAATCCCATTTATGTCACACCCTTCCCAAGACCACATGGTTGTGAATCCCAATTATGTCATACCCTTCCCAAGACCACATGGTTGTGAATTCATCTTGAATCTTGAATACACTTTTTTATTCACAACACCCAGTGTATTGTTCAGGTGTTTCGTTTCTTGAATAATGATATCATACATAACCCTAAAGCAATATAGCTGATACTGTTCTACCATAGACTGCGTTGTATTGTGTGTGCAATTTATTCAGTGTAAATGAACCTTTTGGCCACAATCCCAAATTGCACGTTCTGTAACCAAAGTGAATGAAAGTATGTAAACAAACATAATATATTCATGTCTGCAATGTCCTTAATTCAAATTAGCTAAGTAGTACACATAGGCAAGTGTAAGATACACGATTTGTATGATTCATACCTCCCTAGACTGACCAGTCGTGGCAATTGTATTGTCTATATTATAATTACTTTAGAAGGAGTATGTAATTACGCGCCAGATCACGATTTAAGAAAATAAATTATAAAATTGCTAAGGCTTGGCCAGTCTATGCTGTTTAATGTTCACAGGGGAGCCTTAACAAAAGCAGCCCATCAATATATTGAAAGTAAGCCATCTTGGTTAATAATAGAATTTTATATTGTACATTGCGAGTACAAATATCTTCAAAACATAATGATATATTGGGAAGTTTACATATAATAATGAAAAAAAAATATTTTGTATATATTATCCACAATTGCCCAAATAGATTGACACTCCAACTATCACCTGCTCCAAAATAATTTGTACTAATATTTTCTAAGAAGAAAAAGTACCCCCCCCCCCACACACACACAAACATACATAGCATATAGTATTATACTATTTAAATGTAAAAAAACAAACACTGACTAACCATGTCAAAACAACTAACAATTTCATGTATGTTTACTAATTTCACAATCAAAATACTAGTAGTATAGTCTAATGTTGCTATTTTTATTATATATTCTTTACTTAATACATTACATGTACTATGTTTTCTTTTTACATTACAATTTTTCATTTAAATTTTTCAACTTCATTGATGTATATAACCAAAAAAAAATGTAATATTTGTTACGGTGTCAATAAAGCACTATTCTATTCTATTCTACTCGATGGATGCCATTTTGTGATAAAGTAAGTGAAATGTTTTTTAAAGCAGATACAGGTACTTGATTTTGCTATCATCTTCAACTTAATTATCGATTAAAATGTTTTCTAATATTGTTGTTTGATACTCCATCACTACATTCGTTGGATAAAAATCAAAAACATTCAATACACATGTACAGTGATTGTTATTGTGTGTACCAAAACAAGCGTTGTACATTTCATTGTTATATCAAACGAATACTCATGTGTGTACTACAAGTACGTTTTTAGTTCATGATAAATCGTAGACCAATGTATTTATCTTTATACATTATAACAAAAATACACGTTCTTGTTCATATTGCATCCTTAAGCATTTAAACACAAGAAAGTAGAAATAAATAAATAAATGTCAAGCCATAATGCATTTGCTAATCAATGAACTAAACAAGTATGCTTTAGTAATATCTCATTGTCTGAAAACATCTAGTCTAGAACTCTACCCAGCCCTACACTCGTTGTATGCCACTCTACAGCTTAGTTACGATGCTAGTAATATCTCATTGTCTGAAAACATCTAGCCTAGAACCCTACCCAGCCCTACACTCGTCGTATGCCACTCTACAGCCTAGCTACGATGCTAGTAATATCTCATTGTCTGAAAACATCTAGCCTAGAACTCTACCCAGCCCTACACTCGTCGTATGCCACTCTACAGCTTAGCTACGATGCGAGTAGTATCTCATTGTCTGAAAAAATCTAGTCTAGAACTCTACCCAGCCCTACACTCGTCGTATGCCACTCTACAGCCTAGCTACGATGCTAGTAATATCTCATTGTCCGAAAAAATCTAGCCTAGAACTCTACCCAGCCCTACACTCGTCGTATGCCACTCTACAGCCTAGCTACGATGATAGTAATATCTCATTGTCTGAAAACATCTAGCCTAGAACTCTATCCAGCCCTACACTCGTCGTATGCCACTCTACAGCCTAGCTACGATGCTAGTAATATCTCATTGTCTGAAAACATCTAGCCTAGAACTC